TGTCAACCGCACCACTCAGCTTGGTGTCATCTGCAAACTTGCTGAGGGTGTACTTGATCCCACTGTCTATGTCATTGATGAAGATATTAAACATTAAATGTTTAATGATGAAAATATTAAATATTAAACAGTACTGGTCCCAATACGGACCCCTGCAGGACACCACTCGTCACCAACCTCCATCTGGACAATGAGCCCTTGACCACTACCCTCTGGATGCGACCATCTAACCAATTCCTCACCCACCAGATAGTCCACCCATTAAATCCATATCTCTCCAGTTTAGAGAGAAGGATGTTGGGGGGGACCGTGTCAAAGGCCTTGCAGAAATCCAGACAGATGACATCTGTAGCCCTTCCCGTGTCCACTGATGTAGTCACTCCATCATAGAAGGCCACTAGGTTAGTCAGGCAGGACTTGCCCTTCGTGAAGCCATGCTGGCTGTCTCGAATCACCTCCCTGTCCTCCATGTGCCTTAGCATAGCTTCCAGGAGGATCTGTTCCATGATCTTCCCAGGCACAGAGGTGAGACTGACTGGCCTGTAGTTGCCCGGGTCTTCCCTTTTTCCCTTTTTAAAACTGGGGGTGATGTTTCCCCTTTTCCAGTCAGTGGGAACTTCACTGGACTGCCACGACTTCTCAGATATGATGGATAGTGGCTTAGCACACTGTGTGTGTGTATTGTTTGTGGGTTTTTTTTATTCCTTTCTGTCGATGGCTATTTAGTGACAACAACTAGCTCCTTAGTGGAAGAAGTGAAGGGGGAGTCTGGGCAATGGACTTGCTGGTGCTCAGGTTGTCATTAGTTGTAATGGCAAGAAAACAGGGTGGCCAGTGTCCTGGAATTGCGCAGATCACCTTTCTGTTCCTGGGTTGAACCTTCCAGATGTTGTTGGTAAGCTCTCACCTGAGATTCCCTGCCCTGTCAGTATCTTTGGAAGTCAGCATTGTCCAACCTGAAGGTCCAATGGCTTGCTGTATTACAAGCATGAAGGTTCTTACAAAAAGAGATAGCTAAAGATGGAAGACTGCTGCTCTGAAAGAGAAAATGAGCATCACAGCCAAGCGGAAGTCAGCACGACAGATATGATACCAGAGCAGGGTGGCTCTAGGAAAGAAGAGTAATATGGAGGCACTCTGGCAAGAGCAGTGTCTGTGCAACAGCTGAATTGTTTGATGAATTGCAGAAAGGCATGTAAGTGTTGCCTTATGTTTCTGTCTGGATCAGGACTTGGTGGGTTTCCAGAAATCAATTTCAGTACTTTCATGAAATTATAGACAGACTACAGGTCTAAAACATTTAAGCGTGTGTTGGAGAGAATGTCTCTTGGGAGGAGATGGGGCAAGGCTTCTTAAAATATATAAGCATCCATTCAGTGTTGTTTTGGTTTTTTTTTTTTAATCAGAAGGAAAGAGCAGCATCGTGTATCTTGCAATATTAATTATCTTAATGAAAAGGTCTTCAAGTCACAGGTTTTATTTCTGGAATATGCATGACCTTGTACACAGGTGAACTCAGTGATTGTGGTGTGTGGTTTCCAAGTTCAGGAGAAAATTTGTCCTTCGGATATTTTCTCCCTTATATGTACGTGAAGAAAAAAAAAAACAGAAATAAAACAGCTTAGTAAACGTCTGAGGATTTTCCTCAGTTATCTAAAAGTTGACATGACATCATCTGCACAGATGTAAATATAGAAAATAGTAGGTGTGTTAATCTCCTGACTTATTTTTAAAACCTCTTTTACAGAGGACTGTCTTTACTTGAGTGTATGTTTGTGTCAGTAAATAGAGATGTGGCATTATGTCCATTTTTCTTTCTCTTTCTGGGAGATTGGAAATTTCTTTAAATGCTTATTTTCATCTTTTAGGATTGTTTTTAGCTCTTGCAGAAATGCTGTTAAATTTTCTGTCATTGACTCTGCTCTTTCCCAAGATGGTTATATTTCAGTGAAGTTCTGTTCTGTTTTTTCCTAACTATCCCCCTCTCTATACACGTTTTGGATTTTCCCAAATAGGCATTTTTTTCTCTGAACGATGATAGTATTGAACAAAGTAATATATAATGTAACTGAGTGGTTTTGTGTGAAAATCAGCTGAGCTGTTGATTTTTTCAGACAAACAGAAAAAACAATCCCTCCTTCAATTTCAGTGCTAAAATCCAGAGGATTAGCAAAATAGATGTGAATATTTTGTGTATTGTGAGACCTGTCCTAGGTCCTGATTCAGGATAAGTTTGCTGTTTGAGGTAATATTTAAGACTTAGTTTAAACAAAATCCAGAGTTACATGACTTCTCAACTGTCAAAGGATTTCTTAAGCATTCCATGGAAACGAAGTTTTGTTTGGTGTAATATGTTTGTTAGGTTCTTTATTGTCTATAGGCAGTGTTATAACTATCTTCGTGTGTGGCTACTTTGTGGAAGTAAATGTTGTATGAAATAAAGATTTAAGTTGACTTAGAAATTGAACTTTAAATATTACTAAAAGTAGAGACCAAACCCAACCAATTCTGAAAGCAATTTCTATTGCCGTGTAATTGCTGCATGTAAGAAAACAAGTGAGGAGCTGAAGTGTGTTTTCTTATTTGCAGGTGTTGCTGAAATAGTTTGGTTTATTTAAAACACATGATTTCATGCAATTGTGTCTGATTGTTAGTGCAGCTGTCAACAGCTGCATGCTCATTTAGCTAATTGCATTCTAGTAAGATAGCTAAGCTTATTTTAAGATATGCAGTTGTGCGCTTTTTTAAAGCAACTACACACATTCAGAAGACTTACTGCAGAAAGTTCTGTGCTATCACAACAAACAATCATTGCTCTAGAGGAAATCTGAGAGCTTATAAACAAGACTGCATCAGCCAGTCTAGTGTATGGATAGCATCTGTGAAAAGTTGGTCCATGCCACTTAAATTCATATAGTTCTAAAGGCCTTGAAATGGTCTTGTCCTTGGGGTTAGTTTAATCATCTGCTCTTTGGGAGTGTTTTATAGTTTGACATGTAAAACTTTAACAAGCAACTAATTCCTATTGCTGCATTAGTATTCTGGTTGTGTATACAGGAACTATGAGCTTCTGTTACATACTGATCATCTCCTTCAAGAAATATGTATGTGAAATGAGAAATTTGTACAAAGTGGTGTATGTATAAAAAGCATATTAAGAGAGTAGATTATTTATTATGCATGCTAATTCTGTATAGAATACTTGTATGTTTTTTACTGGTATGTGTTCGCTATGTAAATACAGTCGACAGTATGAAATTTATAATGCAGTGTTGTTTTTATTTGTTATATAGCTTTATGCCAGTATATACAGGCCTCTAAAACCCGAGATGGTGCCAGCCGTTTCATTTCAAGTGCAACAGAAGGTAAAGGAAAAAGTGTGGGGGAAAAAAAAAGCACAATTTTTTGTTCATCTGATACCCTATCTTCATGAGCATTTGTGGTTCTTGATCTTTTAACCTTCTAGAGACTCTCTTCACAGCTAACTTCTTGTAATAGATGGTGGATACCCTTTTTTCCTAAGTCTTGAAGAAATTAAGTGATGCCATTTGTATGTCTATCTTAAACTTACATCATCTTTGCATCTTGTCTATTTGTTCTTTTCTTCAGTAACAAAATTCCACTGAAACTGAAGCTTTAGCTATGCTTTAACAAGAATCTGAAATATCTGAAGAGTAGCTTAAAGAACTGCTGTCATGACCACAATCTCAAGATAGTCACGCTTAAGGAAAAGCACAGATACTTAATGACATGGAAATGTTACAATGCTAATCCTTGCTAATATCTGCAGTCTGATTACATGCTAACTAACTGTCTTGCATTTTCTGTTTCTCTTAAAAGGAGAGTGTGCTTAATTCACTTATCCTCGCATCTACCTGCTGATGTCCTGCTTTTTGGCCTTGTTTCAGCTTAAAAAGAGAATGAAATATTTACTTCTGTATTTTAATTTCACCTGCAGGGGAGAACTTTGAACAGACTCCATTAAGACGCACATTTAAATCCAAAGTTCTTGCTCGCTATCCTGAAAATGTTGAATGGAACCCTTTTGACCAGGATGCAGTGGGAATGGTCAGTATCACTTAATGGCTTTTGGTTTTTTTAAGACAAAAACTTACCTTAACAATTGAAGGCATTCATCTGTGTTTTCTTTGACAAAAAAGTATGAAGTCTGTTGTAGATTGGAAATAATCATGAAGTTCTCTAAATTGTGCAGGCTCAAAAGGCCTTTTCATTTAATTGGGATATTTTTTAAAGGAAATTAACTTAAAACTTACAAGTGATAATTCCCTAGGAGAGTTTTTTGTTCTTTTACCACTTTTTTTTGTTACTTTCTAGAGCATTGGTAGAGAAATAAATTAGTCTGCAATTAATAAATCTTCTTTGTGCATGATTTTTCTGTTTAATGGAATGTGGTGTGGTTTCTTAATTTAAATAATATATAGTGCTTTTCTCTGTCAGGTTTCTGGTCTTGATAACCAAAATATTTTCCTTTATCTGAGTTTGAATTCTGTTACTTTATTCCCATTGATGTTGGTAACAAAATGGTTATGAGTTTCAATAGAAACTGCATACCGCCCTTGTACTATATTCCTTTAGTTTTTCTGATTTAGATTCATATTACTGTATTGTATAGAGATGTAATGCTTAATAGAATTTGAAGTGAAATGCAATGGCAGTCTGTGGATTCTAAATCCTATTTTCACCAATGCTTCTAGAGGCAGGGGGAGAGAAAGTGTGTTTTAATTGATATCATCTTCCCTCCCTCCTTTTTTTTTATAGCTGTGTATGCCTAAAGGGCTTGCTTTCAAGACACAAGCAGATTCCAGAGAACCTCAGTTTCACTCTTTTATTATTACTCGTGAAGATGGCTCACGGACATTTGGATTTTCTCTCACTTTTTTTGAGGAAGTTACTAGCAAACAGATCTGCAGTGCAATGCAGACATTGTATCATATGCACAATGCTGAATATGACATTCTTCATACTCCACCCACAAATGACAAAGATAGCTGCAGCAGCACTGGAGACTGCAATGGCACTTCTGTTTCAAAGCTACAGCGTTTTAACTCCTATGACATCAGCAGAGACACACTCTATGTCTCAAAGTGCATTTGTCTGATTACTCCAATGTCTTTCATGAAAGCTTGTAAGAAAGTACTAGAACAACTTCACCAAGCAGTGACTTCACCTCAGCCGCCACCTCTACCTTTAGAAAGCTACATCTACAATATTCTCTATGAGGTTCCTCTTCCTCCAGCAGGAAGGTCATTAAAATTTTCAGGTGTTTATGGACCAATTATCTGCCAGAGGCCAAGCACCAGTGAACTACCATTATTTGATTTTCCGGTTAAAGAAGTTTTTGAATTGCTTGGAGTAGAAAATGTGGTTCAACTCTTTACCTGTGCCCTCTTGGAATTTCAGATACTGCTTTATTCACAGCGTGAGTACTTGGTTTTTGTTTTCTTATCTTGTAGTTGTACTGGCACAAAGTCTTTTCATTTCTTGAATTCTAAAAAACACAGAACAGAATAGCTGCATTAAAGTGGCATTAGCATGCTAACGCAGTCAGGCTGATCTGTGTGCAGGTTTTCATGGAAAGAACTGGAGTTGCAAAGAGAGCGTTGCGTTGGCTCCTGTTTTTAGACACCTAAACTTAAAACTTGGGCTTTCACATAATCTCCTGTATTCATTGGCTGACTGTCCCCTTTATTGTTGTCTCTGGAAATGTGCTGTTGGATAGAGTAGTATGCCTTCTCCCATGTTCCTCTCCAGCTGCTTAGCTGAATTCCCTCCTCTGCCAAACTATCCATGCATTTTGAGAAGATACGTAGTTGATTATATATGGTTCTGAAGAAGAACTAATGATGCAAATATAGTTTTCTCTTTGACTACCCAACGTCACATTTCAGTTGCTACTTTGAAATAAAATTACCTGAAAAAAGTTTTATTTGAGTGAATTTAAATCCTAAATCTCTGTTAAGGCCTTGAAACAGTTATTGCTGAAGTCACGTAGATAAAGCTTGCTTTGAAGAGGATAGGCAGCAGCTAAGCTGAAATAGCATCTGTTTATCAATTAATAAGTAATGTGCTAGTGGTATCCATTTTCTGTGTTGAAATTTGTGAATACTGGGCTGCTTACTCTGCATCCTGTTACTCAAACATAGAGTATGTGGAGTTATGCCAAAAGATAATTTTTCTACTTTTTTTTGGTCCTAAGCTGGCTAGTTAGTCCAGACCCACCCATCCATAACCGTGTGGTATGAAGTAGACAGACTGCATTTTGAACTCTGTTTTATAGCAATGGTGAAGAAGCCTAGAATTCCCCAAGACAAATCCAGAGGTAGTCCATAGTGTTACTGAAATCTGTTTTCGATATTTTTTTTCCATTGAGCTGTCACTGAAATATGTAGAATACAAATGGTAACTATTTATAAAATATAACCTGCAGTTATTAGCAACATTCTCCAAGCATGAAATACAGATGTTTGAGTGTCGAGATGTGTGCATAGACTAAAGCCAGAGATGGATTTTGTGTGTATAGTCAAGGTGATTAAAAGTGTATAATGGCAGCAGGGCGTTATGTCATCGTTGTTGCATTGTGTAAACACTGTTAACGACCAGAGAAAAACTATACAGTAATTCAAACACTGTCAAAAAAAACTTATTGTACTCGATAGTCTTGGGTTTAAAAAACAAATTGCTTTGCTTATTATTCATAGAAAACTAGAAATACTTGCCTAGCAGACAAACTTCTTTTGTGGTTTCTCCAGAAATTGATTAGGCATTTATATACTTGAGATTTAGGGAGAGTTTGTTTACATGGATATCTGTGTCCCACCAGTGGAAGATTGAGACATCAGCTCTTCCATCTGAAGAAGAATGCAGTCCAGTTGGCCTGTAGTTGTGCTTGAGACCTCCTGTGGCGCAAGCGTGAGCGCCTGGCTGGTTGGAAGCACTGCAAGAAAAGCAATCCGTGCATCACCATATCGGAACAGTGTTCCCTGATCTCTTTTCAGGCCACTGCGTTATAAGAACTCTTTCCTCCTGGGCTGGAACTCTGCTCGCTTTTGGGCTAGTCTTCTGTATTCTGGGTTCTCTTTCCAAGTCATATTAATGGGTTCAACTTTTTTTTCTTGGGCAATTTCCAAGTGTCTGATCAGTGGCTAATTAAAGAAGCTTAAAATAGGTCTGGAACACTTGAGTTTCTTGTTTGCACGCACAGACATAAGGAAGTCAAAGGGATCCATGCGGCTGAAGGCCTGTGGGCCTGGATCTTTATAACAGTTTCTGTCCACTGTTCCCTCGCCTCACCCCGAGCTTTGTTGCCGAGTTGTGCTGTGTTGCACCTTATGGAAGTGTCTTGTTTGTCTCAAGTTCTCACCTACAGTTTCTGGCTGAAAAGTCTTCTTTCAGTAGAAAAAGAATTTTAGTTATTTGTTTGCTGACTTTTGGCCCTCAGTTTTGGTGAACTAGCTGTGGCAGTGCCTTCTCAGTAGCCATAGTTTTTTGAAATGTAGCTTCTTTTAAGTACTTTCTAAGGGATCTAATCTCCAACACTTTTTTTACCTGCTGTTTTTCGTAAAAAAAACTTTTGCTGCAGTTTGCTAATACTTACTCAGAATACTTTCAAAGCTTCTAGTGAGTTAACAACAAAAGTTACTGCATGCTGCTTAACAGCCAAGTTAAAGACTCTTTTCTAAAATGCTTTTGATACACATGTACTTTATTTTTGTATTACTTGAAATGGGAGTATGAAGTATTTTGAAGTTGTAGAAAGTCAACTCTTTCTTCCTGTAACTTCTGTTTTTGTCTTTTCTAACCATGATATTATGTTTTCTTCTACATGGCAGTAAATTAGAAAATTGTTTTAGTAAAGTGATTGCTTGCTTCGTGTAAAAGGATGATATCAGTAGGAAAATGGAACTTCTGACTGAGGTTCTGATTGTCTATACCTTTACTTACTGGTTTCCTTCTTTTGCTTTGTTTTGGTTTGTTTAGGGTTTTGTGTTTTTTTTTTTTTTTTCTTGGGTGGGTTTGTTTGTTTTTTAAACTGGTATATGCTCCTAATACATTCTTCTCTTTCTTCTGTATGGTTGACTAACATCCCCTTTTTGCTATTTGTAAAACAGGGAATGTTGAATGTAGATACAGGTGATGGTGCACTCAGTTCTAAGTGGAATCAGAAATTGCTTGAATTTTTGTAAGGGCTTGCTCATGTTCTTGCACGTGCAGTAGTGTGAGGTTTAGTTTTTTTCTTCAGAATATAAATCTTAAATTTTTTTTAAGTCCTTTGGGTTTGTTAAATCTCTTGGTGCTCGAGCCTGTGACAGTTGAGGTGGTTGGGATCATTTCTTGTTCTAGGTCAGATGAGACTGTGATACTCACTGCGTGGATTTAGATTTAGAACAGTACGTGTCAGAATCAGAGGGTTTGCTTGTAAGACTTACTTTTTAAGAAACAACAAAAAACAAACCCCCCAAAAAACCTCTTGGAGGACTTTGCTGCCAGATGCAATCCTTTTTGAAACAAATTATTTAGCATCTTAAGTTGCAGTCAGTCCTTGGAGTAGGAGTACTTCACTTTGCAGTGAATGTGTTTTGCTTTAAGATTCCTTTGACATATTTCTGACTTTACGCTTCTGGAAATTCTTCTTTTGTCCCACTATATTGGCACAGCCTGTATGTTTTCGATCAGTGTAAGCCAAATAGGGAATGAATTCCTAGATTTGATTGTCCTCTTGAGAGAGTTGTCTCCCATTTGGGAAAGTGTTAGAGGAATGCAGGTGCCTATAAGACAGTGAAGAATCTGAAGCTGCTCCTAGTGCTGAGCCAGTGCTGAGGAACTCTGGCAAAGAGACAGTGGTGCTGAAGGAGGCCTTCAGTAGTGCTC